ACCGACCGAGAAGACGAACTCACCGAACTCATTCTATCAACGAACCTCATCGTGCAAATGACGGAGTTTGTCAATTTACCCAAGGCCGCCAACCTCTATCATTTAGAGGGTCTCGTTCGGGTAAAGCCATGATGACGGAGTCGACTGGGGGTTGTCCAGTTGGTGACCTTTGGGATTATCTCATGTGTAAGCGTAGCATGAGCCAAATGCAATCGTATTGTTGCTGTGAGAAGCTCATATCTGCAGTGCTTTCCCAATGTCCATGTGGAGAGTCGATGCATAAATCTTCAGTCTTCGAACGATTGACTGAATTGCCAATGGCCTCATCATCAAGAAGAAGACGTTTTTGTCCAAAGAAACAAGCGTCCAAGAATCGCCACGTTGAAGTGACGATCAACATGGCCAGCAAGGGTAAAAGCAAAATCTCAGTCGATGATTCAGAGTCTTCTGATTTTGAAAGATCTCCCGAATTATGAGAGGCACTTATTGAAAGTCAGGGCATTTACCAACATACTCGTTCTCGTACTGGGGCAATGATCCCATTAGACTACCGCAAACTGGTAGGTTTATCCAGTGGTGTTGGTCAAGAAGCCGAGAATTCAGCCATTGCTACTTCTCAGCCCTCCAACACCGACCAAAGTGAGCAAGCAAGTGCTCACATGATAGGAAAAGAGGAAGAACTCTCGCGACAATTGGAAGAGCAACAATCAACCATCCTGAAGCGACAGGAGTCCATCAGACGCCTGGAAGCGATGGTGGAGAGACTCCATGAGGAGAAGGAAAAGAAGAAGAAGAAGAAGACTCATTCCCAAGCCTCAGGATCTAGACGTAGAAGACCTTCACCTGTTGATGAGGATCGCTATGATGAAGACGATGAAGAAAGGGTTGTGAAGATTCATTCTGAATCGTCCGAAGCTGAATCTAATCCTCGTACGAAAGAACGAGATCAGAAGTGGGAGGATTTTTAGAAGCAGCTTGATGCACTAAAGCTTCAAGGAAATTTTAAAGAGTTGGGGGTGTCAAGACCCTATCCAAGTGAATGGAATTCGATCCCATATCCTCCGAAGTTCAAACCACTCAACTTGGTACAATTTGATGGTAATGATTCTCCGACCCAACACATCTATTATTTCCAGGTACAGACTGGACACATAGTAGGGAATGATCCCATTATGACTCGACTTTTTATTAGTACTCTTAAGGGGGTCGCTTTTGAATGGTTTCGCAGGCTCGAACCAGGGTTAATCCAGAGTTGGAGAGATTTAGAGAGCCTTTTCTTAACTCGATTCTTCGACGATGACACTGAAGTGTCTATGGCTACATTGTTGTCTGAGAAACAGAAGAAAACGGAGTCGGTCAGTGACTTCGTCAAGAGATTCAGAAATCGATCGTTGTATTCACGCGATCAAGTTTCTGAAGCTACTCTTGTGGAAATGTGCCGCAACAATCTTTCTATCAATATCTTGTCCAAAATGGGCACTGTTGAGGCCCGTTCATGGAAAGATTTGGTTTGGCAAGGAGAGCAAGTGGAAAACATGCTCAAAAGGATAAGTGCTGAAGAACCTCAAGAATCCCAACCTGAAAAGGGAGGTGGTAAAAGAAACTATAATTCCTAAAAACAATCGAATGGGAAAGACACCTTAGCTGTTGAGACAGCTTCATCTCCGAAATTCTTTACCAAATAGAAGGGGAATACATCCGATAATCGTTTTTAGAATAAATACAATTTCAAGGATGAACATGTGGTCTCTATTCTTACATATTTAATCAAGATGAATAAGATCAAGCTATCAGAGGTAAAGTGGAATGCGGAAGTATCAAGGACTGATGATCCTAACTTTTACATGTACCACAGGATGGTACATCATCCAACTAAAGCTTGCTACATCCTGAAAGACAAGATTCAAGCTTTATTAGACGCAGGTTTGATGACCCTTCAAGCTAAGCAAAAGAAGGTGTCTGCGAACATGGTTTCACTTTAATTTGTAGATTTCACCGAAGTACAAATACAAGATGGCGTGCAACCAATTCCTCAAGCGGAGGCGAGGGTGGTGAACTTCGATCCATATCAGAAGAAAAAGAAGGGGATGGTTCCTTACACTACTTCTAAGGGTGAATTGATCTGGGTTCATCCTGACTTATTAATTGACGAGCAGTGGACATCAGCAAACTCAAAAAAGCCTAGAGCCACACGAAGAACTTGCAACGCCGTTTTAGCCGTTCTAGATGAGGGGGTTGAAACTATGTCATTTAGCAGTTCTGAGAATGAACAGCCAGCCTTCGCTGCACAGCCTGCACAGGTATCAGGAACCCACGGAGGAAAAGAGTATTTGAAGAAATATTCTGAAACAACAGCTACACCATCCAGGCAACCTCAATCTAAGGAACTTCGTTACAACAAAGTACTTAGGAAAGATGTCCGGAGAGTTTGAAAGATCCTTTTCGGTTTGATATGATGGCTCAGTTAGCCAACATCCCAGCAAGGATTACCTTGTTTAAGATCCTACGTTTATCTCGATCAACGAGAGAAGCTCTCCGTGAATCATTGGCGGATAACGAGGCTTTTCTCACTCATTTTTCACCAAATCTAGCCGGAGCAACACTGGAAGAAGCTTGTCCTCAATGTTGTTAAGTTTTTCAAAGAAGAATACCATGCATCACCTTCTCTTAGAAGACATGCATGTGAGAAACCCAAAACATGATAGACCATTGTACTTCACAGGGTACATCAGCTCTATTCGGATAGACAGAATTCAGGTTGATCCTGGTTCTGCTTTGAGCATCATTCCATTGCTGCTCATTCATCACCTTGGAATCCCTCTGCATCGTTTATCAACAACGAGAACCACCATATATGGCTTCAATGCCTCTAATACTCGTCCCCTTTGCAAAATCAAACTCAAATGTCAGATGGGTGACTTGAGGACGGACGTTACCTGCTAAGTCATCGATGCAGATATGTCTTACAACTTATTACTGGTTCGACCATGGATCATTAATAATAATTTGATTGTTTCGTCCACTCTACACCAATGCATAAAATATGTAAGTGAGAGTGGTGAAGTAAAAACAGTGGTCGCAGAGAAGCAACCATTCAAGGGGGTAGAGAATTATTTCACTGATTCTATCCATTATCTTGATGGTGAGCCATTTGAGCTACCACTGATCGAAGAACCAGATAGTGGTAATGAAGCCGATATCGAGTCTGAACACGAACAAGGTCTTGTTTTTAATGACATAGAACCCGTCGTAATCGACCTTGAAGATCTGGATGTAAATGACCATGTCCATGGCAGCAGAGTTATCTTTAATAATAATGATTTAGCTTACTTCTCGCGTGTGGAATTGAATGCTAACATGTCAAGTACAAACACTGATGTGTCTATCCAAGTTATACGCTGAATCAAACTTATACATGCCAATTCAGTCGTCTTTTGTAACAAATCGACGACAAATTGAATCTTCGCAAGCAGTCTTTATAGTACCGGCTAAGGTTAACGGTCAAAAAAACATCATCTTTGGAGAGTGACGGCCCGGTGCAAACCATTTTGGAGGAATCTGAGAAAGAGGAAAGGGATCCGTAATTCTCATACTTTACTCCAACAACTCAAAAACTTGTGAAGAATATGGGATATGATTTCATTCATAAATAGGGCTTAAACTTCGGCAGAGGGATCCGGACACCGATATGATCTGCGTATGTCCCGGAAGGAAAGCCATAAGATTATTATCACAAAACTTGTAGTGGATTGGGTTATGAATCTCCACCGTTTATGCTGCATTTTGGGACTAAAGGAGAGTCAGATGATGATTCTTTCACCTCGTCTTCCGAATCCAATTGCTGGGAATCTGATACTAGTATAGGAGCTATATTCAAAGTACTCATGGCTAACATGACCTCAGTGTCTTTGATAGAGAATCAAGAAGATGATCAATTACTTTTGTTTGACGATCCATTAAGTCGACAACTCGGTATACAGTGGGAATACCATTTTGAACAACGTGAACCCCCTACTGATGACAAGGTGATTCATGTGAACATGGGAGATGAGATTAATCCAAAACCCATATTCATAAGTGATAGTTTATCGCCAGAAGAGAAAGAAGACCTCATTACTCTAGTCCGAGAGTATATTGATGTCTTCGCTTGGAACTACGAGGATATGCCTGGGCTTGATCCCCAAGTAGCTATGCATCAGTTAAATATCAAACCAGACATCAAGCCTGTTAAACAACAACAAAGGTGATTTCGGCCCCAAATCATGGAAGCAATTAAAGCTGAAATAAAAAAGCTCATCGAATCAGGATTTATCCACGAAGAGCAATACCCTGATTGGGTGGCTAACATTATCCTTATCCTAAAAAAGAATGGGAAGATTCGAGTGTGTATCGACTTCTGTGACTTGAATTCGGCTTGTCCTAAAGATGATTTTTCGTTACCTATCACGGACGTCATTATTGACAATACGTGTGGGTTTGAGAGGATGTCCTTTATGGATGGATTCTTAGGGTACAACCAAATCAAAATGTATCCTGATGATGAAAACCATACATCCTTTCGAACACCTTCAGGGATATACTATTATACAGTAATGCCCTTTGGGTTAAAAAATGCGAGCGCCACCTATCAACGCGCTATGACCTTTATCTTCCAAAAACATCTACGAAAGATCGTGGAATGTTACGTTGATGATTTGGTTGTCAAAAGTCATGACAAGGAAAATCATTTACACGACTTGAAAACAATGTTTGATCTTATGCGGGTGCATCAGCTCAAGATGAATCCAACTAAGACATTCTTAGGAATGGCTAGTGGTAAATTTCTCGGGTTCGTAGTCACGGGTAACGGAATTCATTTAGACCCAGATAAAGTCAAGGTCATCCAAGAGCTACCACCTCCCAGGAATCTTAAGGAGCTTCGAGGCTTACAAGGATGATTGGCGTATATTCACAGGTTCATTTCTAACCTGTCCGGGAAATGCCAACCATTCTCAAAACTAATGAAGAAAGGAGTATCTTTTATATGGGACGAGGCTTGCCAGAAAACGTTTGAGGAGATTAAGCAATATCTCTCCAATCCACCGATATTGGTCGCACCAAAGTCTGGTAAACCTTTCTTGATATATATTCGGGCTACAGATCATGCATTAGCAGGGCTCCTGGCACAAGATGATGAAAATGGCCATGAACAAGCCGTCTACTATCTTAGTAGGACATTATCGGGTGCTGAACCTCGTTATCCTCTCATTAAGAAGGAATGTTTGGCGCTGGTCTTCACAGTTCAGAAAATACGACATTATTTGGTTGGGCAAATCATACATGTTATTTCTCATATTAATCCTATTCGGGTATTCATGACACAGCCCAGTGCATTGAATTGGCGACTCGCCAGGTGGGTTTTATTGCTTTCCCAATATGACATCCACTTTAAACCTCAAAAAGCAGTGAAAGGCCTGGCTATCTGTGACCTTATGGCTAATCATCCACTAAAAGAAAAGGTCGAATTATACCAGGACATACCTGATGAGGCATATGAAGCAAACATCGTCTCTAGAGAACAAGTATGGCAATTGTACTTTAATGGTGTAGCAAGGACAAGTTCTACTGGTCGGGTTATAGCTAGAGTGGGGGTTGTCTTTATCTCTCCCCAAAACCACATACTCCTACGCGCCGTTTCTTTAACAGAGCCGTGTTCTAATAATATGGTGGAATACAATACTTTGTTGGTTGGCTTGGATATAGCCAAGCAGTTGGGAGTGAAATGCTTAGAGGCATACAGTGATTCTCAACTTATTGTTAATCAAATGAAAGGAGAATATGAGGTTAGGAATAAAGACCTCATTCCTTACCATGCCGCAGCAATCGCATTGGCCGATTCCTTTGAGGGCTTTTACATTAACCATGTACCCCGTCTCAAGAATACCTATGTTGATGCACTGGCGTCACTTGCGGCTACCTTAGCTCTACCTGAAGGAACTACCCAGCAGGTCACATTGACAAGTAGACAATTATTCAAATCAAAGTATGCACTGCAGATCAATGCAGTTGAAGCGGAACCTTCAACACTCGAACATAAAGATTGGCGATTTCCAATCATCGATTATGTCTTATACGGCTTATTGCCTGAAGACATCAAAGAAAAAGAATCTATTCGTAGACGAGCACCTAGATTCTACTATGATTCTCAATCCCAGACTTTGTATCGAAAGTCGTACGATGGACTTTTGCTTCACTGTTTGTCAAATAGGGAAGCAAAAGAAGCCCTTAAAGAGGCTCATGGTGGCATCTGCGGAGCTCATCAGCCTGGTCCTAAATTATGGGATCGACTACGCAGATTGGGTTATTATTAGCCTAATATGGTACAAGATGTTGTTGCTTATGCCAAACGGTGCCACGCCTGTCAGATACATGCTAATTACATGCATCGACCACCCGAGCATCTTCATCCTTCAACCACTTCATGGCCTTTCGAAACGTGGGGAATGGACATTGTTGGTCTAGTGACACCACCCTCTTCCAAAGGACATCGTTTCATTTTGGTGATAACTGATTACTTTTCTAAATGGGCAGAAGCAATCCCGTTGAGAGAAGTCAAAGCGAGTGATGTTGTTAAATTCTTAAAACATCACATCGTATATAAGTACGACATTCCGAGACGTATCATTCATGACAATGGGTCCCAATTCGTTAGCCAAGCTTTTACCCGATTCTGTGACAAATTTAGGATCAAGAATTTGGCTTCAACGGCTTATAATCCTGCTGCTAACGGGCTAGCAGAAGCATTTAACAAGACCATCGTCAGAATTCTCACTAAAGTGGTTTCAACGAGCAAAAGAGATTGGAACGAGAAATTGGGTCAGAGTTTGTGGGCTTATCGTACAACGATTCGAACGCCGACAGGAGCGACACCATATTCCTTGGTATACGGATGTGAAGTTGTATTACCATTAGATATACAAATTCCTTCTTTGCGGATAGCACTCACAATTGGTATGACGACGGAAGAGAATCATCACCGACGTCTTGAAGAGCTGGAAGCGCTTGATGAAAAGCGGCTATTGGCTCAACAACACATTGAGCTTTATCAAGCTCGGATTTCCAAAGTATTTGATAAGAAGGTTAAATACCATACATTTAAGGAAGGCGACTTGGTTCTTGCAGCTCGGCGCCCGATGATTTTGAACTCCAAGAAGAAAGGAAAGTTTGAGCCAAAGTGGGAAGGGCCATTTGTAGTAGAAACTGTCTACTCAAATGGAGCCTATCGTCTTATCACCAAGGATGGCGACAAACTTATGATGCCTATCAACGGTAAATTTTTAAAGAAATATTACCCGTAGACTTTATCATCAAGTGTACCTTGCCACTGGAGAAGAAGCAAATAAAGGTAATGATTTCTTTATTTCATCTCTTCCAAATTTCCCTCACTAATCCTCTTCAATAGGATAGTAGGACTATTATTGTATTAACTCTACCTCTGATTGCTGATGGTCTTCTAATAGTAACCTACTATGTGATGTGTTACTTTCCTAACATCATCATACTTCTAAAGTCACTGAACGATGTGATTTTCCTAACGTCGTTATTTTCCCAAATAACGTTCGTTTTCCTAACTTAGGCCTACCAAGTGATGTGCCTTCGTTTCCAACATCGTCATACTTCTAAAGTCACTGAACGATGTGATTTTCCTAAACATTGTCATTTTCCCAAATAACGTTCGTTTTCCTAACTAAGGCCTACCAAGTGATGTGCCTTCGTTTCCAACATCGTCATACTTCTAAAGTCACTAAACGATGTGATTTTCCTAACGTCGTCATTTTCCTAAATGACGTTCGTTTTCCTAACTTAGGCCTACCAAGTGATGTGCCTTCGTTTCCAACATCATCATATTTCTAAAGTCACTGAACGATGTGATTTTCCTAACGTCGTCATTTTCCCAAATGACGTTCATTTTCCTAATTTAGGCCTACCAAGTGATGTGTCTTTGTTTTCTTTATCGTTGTTATTCTAAGCCACTGAATGACTTGATCATCATAACATTGTCATTTTCCCCAAAATGACGTTCGTTTTCTCGATGAGTCTGCCATGTGTCGAACTTCGTCCTTAATACTTAGTTATATTTTGAACCTCGTTATCATGCATTTGATATGGGGTCTAAAAGTGACTAAGGATAAAAAAGAAATCTTAGCATTGAAGTCTAAAAGAAACTCTTTGATAACTCATCATACTGAGGGGAAAAGTATGGCTTGTCCAACTCAAATGGCAGTTGGTAAAGACCACTCAAGTCTATTGACAGCTGAGGGTTTGCTAAAAATCCTAAGTTAGAATGCTTCAGTTATGCAAGAGAACAATATATGGATAAAGTATAAATTTTATTCATATATAATTGAGGATACAGAAACTTGAAGTACATAGATTGAACTTAGAAGAATCGAACTACAATACGAGGTTCAGTTACAAGTTCTTTCAGCTACAATACGATGTTCGGTTACAAGTTCTTTTGACAACATTCGGACTACAGTACGAAGTTTAGTTACAAGTTTTTTTGACGACCTTCGAGATTGCACTACGAGTCTCGTCCACAGCAAATGCGCTGTCTTGTTGTTAAAGTTCCATCTTCCGTTCCTGGGCATGAAGTCTTCCCCACACTCAACTTTTAACTTTGGTCCTTGTAGCACACGTTTACCTACTTGGGTAAACTGACTACTAATTGAAACACCACAAGCTCTGAGCATAGGATCAGCACTTCTCCCATCTCCGCAGAACATGAAGATGGCATTAACATTATTGCTGACTCCTAAAAGAAGCACTTCACTGAGCCTGTGAAGCTGCCACATAGACCGAAGTCTAGCAAAGGGACTGCATGCTTGGGGGTACATGGCATGTCAAAACAGCAAGCATATTTGAATTTAAGATATCTCTTCAAGATTACATTCAAAAGTCCAACAAGTTGACGAAACATATCCTGATTTTGACTCTGGAGCACTAAGAAATCCTCAAATGAACGAACTACTACGAAGACTAAGAGATCAGAGATCGGGTCAAAAGAGTTACCTGAAGCGACAAAGTCATCAACTTTGCCTACCTCACTGGCGATGATCATCGGAGCTTGGAGTCTAATAGGAAGCAAAGGTGGAAGTCTTAAAGTGGTTCATTTCCTCTGACTCATTTTGGAAACAAGGCATAGAAGAGGAAGATGGATCCTCTTGAAAAGTGACTGCCTATTTATAGGCGAAAGAGCCAATCAAGTGGCTGGGATGCGTTACACGAATCCCTAAGCACCGAATCACCAAAAGGTGCTGAGAACGAAGCGGCACAATCAATTACGTTCGTAATTAACGCCAAAGAAAACGTGGCTCAAAACGACGCATTAAGTACTCAAGACTTAACGTTGACGAGATGAAACGACGGATTCTTATGGATCAACAGTCTTGGAACTGTTGAAAGTTGCCACGTCGTTCAACAAGATTTATTCTCGTTCCTAAGTCAAGAATAGCGAGGATCACTATTTCAAACTGGATTTAAGTATTAAAACTCGATTGAATGTGGATTCAAACCTCGTCCTCGACGAAGGTCATCCTTCTATTGGACTCAAGTGTTGAAACTTGATCGAATTTGGGATCCGAACCTCGTTCTTGACGAAAGTCGTTCCTTTAATTATATTCAAGTGTTGAAACTTGATCGAATTTGGAATCCGAACCTCGTCTTCGACGAAGGTCGTTCCTCTAGCTAACTTGAGTATTGAGATTTGATAAAAATTGGATCCGAAGCTCATCTTCGACGAAGGTCGTTCCTTGAATTTTACTCGAATATTGAGAACTTAATTGAAATCATATTTGAACCTCGTCTTCCATGAAGGTCATTCTGATAATTGAGTTCAAATGCCGAGGATTAACTGAACGAGATTAGAACTTCGTTACGTCGAATACGAATTGGAATTCGAATCCAACTTTGTGTCAAAGTAACAAGGTTTGTACTTCAAATCGTAAATCACAAAACAACGAAGTTTGTGAACTTTGGCATTAGATTACGCATTGAGGTGCAAAGTAAAATTAGTGAACAAAGACGTCCGAAATTCTACTTATATATATAAAAAAAACATATGAAGAAGAGGGTTACAAAAGTCCGATAAAGAAAATGGAGCTAAATGGATCTAGCAATCTGACAAATTTCCTCAGCGAGCTTAGCTATGGATTCCTGATTTTCTGCCTTAACATCAGCCAAAGCGTGTCTACGCAGCTCCTCATCGGAATAGATGCTCATGTCGTTTACGACTTTTTCTAGCTGCTCCATTCGATCAATTTCAGCTTGAAGTAAGGGTTGATACTGCATTTGTTTTGAAGCTAATGTCTGCTTCATATCTCTTATACCTGTCAATTCAGCTTCAGCCTCTACTAGTTGGGCCTGAAGAGCATTTATTTGAGCTTGAAGATGGTCGACCTCATGTTGCTTTTGAAGTTCAGCGTTTGCAACCTTTCTACCCTCTCGAGACAAATTCTCTTCGATCTCTTTGAACTCCTTAATCCGTTGCTTAGTCTCAAGCAATTGATGGTTAAGTTTAAATAAGGAGTTATCCCTTCGCCGCATAGTTTGCATGGCCTGTTCCTCAGCCAAAGGGTAAAGAGATCGAGATCGACAATTTTACCATTGATTGAAAAGATCTTCAACCTTAGTCAGGTGCAACCAATATGGTAATACTGCAAGATTAGAGGTCAAACTCTTCATCAAGTCTAAGAAAGGCACCAACACCTCTTTAATCTCTGCAAAATCCCCTCCATGGTCCAAAACCTGAACGGAAGATTCTCTCAGGATGTTGAGAAAATTCTCCGATATTTTTGATACGACAAAATTTCTAGCTGAAGATGAGGGAGAAACATGTGTGCTACTAGAGGACACTGTTGCATGAGTAGCAGCAGAAGAGACTCTAGCTGCTGTAAAGACTGATGGCGCATGGCACACGGTAGGAGAGTCAGTAGTTGTGGCAACCATTGCAGTAGTGGTAGGAGCAGCAACGACTGTAGTACTTGGTATGACGCAAGTTTCGGCTGTTGTAATGGAACTGGTAGACACAACACTTGTATCCATAGTGGTTTCAGCTTCAGCTATGGTGGTTGGAGCAGATTCATTTCCCTTAGCTTCCTCAGGGTCAACAGTCGGATTATCAGCTGGGCCTGATTCCATAGCTAAACTTAGAGGTACCCTACTTTTAGCAGGGTCATCAGAAGCCGGTCCCACCCCAATACCTGCATCGGTAAAGGTAGTGGAATCTGTGGAAACAACTAAGCACAGCAATCAAAGTCGTTAGTATCTTAGAAATCCAGAAAGGTAAATGACTATATACCTATCTTACCAG